TGGTTAAAAGTGCGGTGGCCCTGTTGTGCTGGTGGTCGCCGCGATCGTGCTACCTTGCTTTGCGGTCTTCGTCGCCCATTACGGTGGGCAACTGGTGTCTCGGGAATGGTTCGTGCGGGGGTGCGATGCAACAGCGTGTGGTGCGGTCTGTCGCACAGTTGGCACAAGATGGGTGAGTCGCACTCCCTCGTTGCGTGCGATAGCGCCAAGCAGTTAAGGCAGTACCCATGAGCTTGCGCGACTTGCTGGCGCTGAGGTGGCTGCATGCTCCTAAAAATGGAGCATAGGCGTAGCTTATGTGGGCGACGACATAGCGGACATCGTACGCCATGTACGGCTGCTGAGCACCTTTGTGGAGGTTTTGCGCGTGGTGATGCCGTCGGCGCGGCGGCGGGTCGGGGCGTGAGGTTTCGAGGCGCTGCGGCCGGAGCTGCTGCGGTACGCGGCACAGTAGAGCGAGGAGCTGCTACTGGCGGTGCTGCCGAGCGGGGCACGGTGATTGCCGAACGGATATTTGGAGTTGGTGTGGCTTCACTCATTTCCACATCCATATTTATCTACAGTAGGGGAGAACGGACTTTAGTATAGGATAGATGCAAGCAGTTATGAACATGATTGCTAGGCATAAGCCACTTGGTGTGGGTTTGAGGGTACGGATTTAGGCACTTTTGATATTCTCGGTTTTTGTTACGTTTATTGAGTTGCGTGGTTTTAGTTTTATGTACTGTTTTGAGCATGACGGAGTTACGATTGTTTTTCATTGATTATTAGCGTCTTCAGTCGGTAGAAGGCAAAGTTTTACGAGCGGTCGAGTTAGTGTACCGTTTTGTGTGCGCAAATCTACGACTCGTATGTGACCATCGGAGCCACGATGTAATTCTTCGATTCTTGCGAGGCGCCACTCGGTGGGGGGAAGACACTCATCGTGGATGAGAACACATTCTCCAATTTTAGGCTCCTCTTGAGTATTCTTCCATCTATATCTTTTATGGAGGTCTTTTAAATAATCTTCCTTCCATCTACGACTGAATTCATGATGGAGAATTTTCATTCATTCCCATCGATTCAGTAGAGATAAGGATTGCTCGTCTGGTTCCGGTATTGCCAGAAGTGGAGCACCTCTAAGAAAATGCCCAGGGGTGAGGGCAGTGAAATCGGAGGGATCTTGCGAGAGCGCAGAGAGGGGCCGTGAGTTAAGAACGGCTTCTATTCGGGTTAATAATGTAGTAAATTCTTCAAAGTTAAATTTGTGTGCGCCAGCGACTTTTTAAAATGTGTTTTGAAGCTTTTTACAGCGGATTCCCATAGACCCCCCATATGTGGAGCACTTGGTGGGATAAATTGCCAATCAATGCCTTGGGGTGCGTATTTTTGAACGATTTCAGGCGAGACTTCCTCTATAAATTTTACAAACTGTTTTTCAGTGGCTCTTTTGGCTCCGACAAAGGTTTTTCCATTGTCGCTCATTATTTTGGATGGAAATCCTCGCCGTCCGACGAAGCGAGCACATGCGGCGAGAAAAGCCGCAGTGGTCAGATCAGAACATAGCTCGAGGTGTACTGCCTTTGTCGTAAAGCATACAAAGACAGCCACATAACCCTTCGTAAAGGTTGAAGTCCTTAACATGGAAGCCTTTATCTGGAAAGGCCCAGCAAAGTCAATACCAGTGGTAGTGAAGGGCAGAGCGAAAGTGCAGCATTCAGGTGGAAGAGCTGCCATCTGCGTGCGCATCTTCTGCTTATGTATAGTGCAGACTTTACACATAAATATGCATTTTTTGATCTGTGGCTTTAGTCGTGGAATATAATATTCTTGTCGGACCATTTGTTGCATGAGGCGATGTTCGGCATGTAGCATTAATAAGTGGAGAAATCTGAGGTATAGTGTTGCAAATGAGGATTTCTCTGGTATTATTATGGGGTGGCGTTCGTTATATGTGAGGCTGGAGTTCGCTAGCCGTCCATTAGCACGAAGCAGACATTTCGTGTCTAAAAATGGATTGAGTACTAAGAGTTGACTCTTTTTATCAATTGGTTTTGATTCTCTTAGCAGTAATATTTCGCGGCTGAAATAGCGCGTTTGAGTGTATGCAACAAGGGAAACCTTTGCTTTTTGTAGGTCTTGATGCGTTAACATGTTATATGGGGAATTCGGTGTTTTCTTCACCTTATTTTTGAGGCGCTCTACGAATTTGAACATATAGGCGACTACCTTTAGGGCACAGGGGAACGAGGAAAATCGTTCTAGTATGTCATTGTCATCCAGTATTGTGTGAAAGGTTTCAACTTTTCGACTTTCTGGGGCAATTATGATGCGTATGGGGGATTGTGGCCAGAATTGTTGTGATTCTATTAGCCAGCTGGGGCCGTTCCACCAGAGTGAGGTGGTGGCGAGGTGCAAGGGTTTGCAACCTCTTGTGCCAAGATCGGCGGGGTTATCAGCACTGGCTACATGTCGCCAAGTTGCCGGCCCAACTAAATCAAGTATTTGGGCTGTGCGGTTGGAAACATATGTTTTCCATGAGTGGGGTAGTTTTTCTAACCAAGCTAAGACGATCTCTGAGTCTGACCATAGATATAATTTTTGACTGGTCATGTTTAAATGCGTTTGCACAGTTGAGGCTAATTTTGCGAGTAGAAGCGCGCCACACAGTTCAAGTCGTGGTAGACTTAGTGTTTTGAGAGGTGCCACTTTGGCTTTTGCTACTAACAAATGGCTTGAAATTGTGCTGTTAATTTGGGTGCGCACATATATAGTTGCGCAATATGCCTTTTCAGAGGCGTCGCAGAAGCCATGCAGTTCTACTTGGTATTCGGGGGAGTAATTTACCCATCTAGGGATTTGTATCTCTGCAATAGCGTGCAAGTTGTTAGCAAATTGGGACCATTTTTCCAAGCGAAGTGGTTTCACTTGCTCGTCCCATTCGGTTCCGTCAAGCCATAATTCTTGTATCAGGATTTTCGCTTGTATCATAACTGGCGAAAGCCATCCTGCGGAGTCAAAAAGTTTCGCTACAGCCGACAGAATTTGCCTTTTAGTTATTGCGGATTGAGCAAATATCGACTCAAGAGTATATGAGAATTTATCTGAGATCGCATTCCATTGTATGCCTAGGGTTTTTGTTGTACTTTCCTTTTCGAATATTAGGAAGTTTGAATCTAATAAACTTTCTTTATTTATATCTGTTAGGATTTCGGGGTGATTGGCGGTTATCTTTTTTAGGGGGAACCCTGCTGACTTGAGGGCTTGTATTACTTGTGATAGTGCTTCGTACGCTTGGGGTAAGCTGTGGCTTCCAGACAGGATATCATCCACATATGTTGGTGTTTTTAACACCGGGGTTGCTAGGGGTAATTTTTCTTTTATATCGTTTGCCAATTCGTGAAGTGTTCGAATGGCAAGAAAGGGGGCACAATTTACGCCAAATGTCACCGTTTTGAGTTTATAGTCGCATATTGGACTATTAGGTGAATTTCGAAATATCATGCGCTGAAAGTCTTGATCGTCTTTATGTACGAGTATTTGTCGATACATTTTTTCGACGTCTCCGTTAAATACGTACTTGAACATACGCCACTTTAAAATCAGAAGCATTAAATTGGGTTGTAATGTGGGTCCTGGGTACAAAATGTCATTTAAGGAATTGCCTGAACTTGTACATTTCGAGGCGTTGAAGACTACTCTTACCTTGGTTGTTTTTTTGTCTGGTTTTACAACCGCATAATGGGGTAGGTAAAATGAGGTGTATTTACCTTTGGTTATGTTCTCATATGGATTTACTTTTTCCATATGATCTAAATCGAGATATTCTTCCAGGACACCATCGTATGCTGATTTAAGCTCGCCTTTTTTAAGTAGGGTTTTCTCCATACTTAAAAACTGCTGAAGTGCAGAGGTTCGGGAGCGACCTAGGGCGAGTGTGTCGGGAAATTGTGGCTTGAATGGTAGCCTTGCGACGTAACGGCCGTTTTTTGAACTTGTAGTTGTGGCTTTATAATAGTCTTCACAATATTTATCTTCTGGGGTAATGACTTTCATGGGGGGGAGTTCTTCTAACTCCCAAAATCTTCTTAATTGAGAATTGAGGTATTCGTTTGAAATATCTTCAACTTGAGTTGTGACTACCGATATTTTTTCTTTTACTTGGCCGCTCAATATCCATCCAAAGATGGTATTTTGGGCTAACAAGGTATTTGAAATTTTTTCAATGCCTTCTAGCATTATTTGGGGGATTAGGTTGCTGCCTAATAGGATATCAACTTGCGCGGGGGTGTGGCAGTTGGGATCCGCTAACTTGAGGTGGGCAAATTTTTGGCGATCTTTCCCATTTACTTTATAGCTTGGAAGCATATTTGTAAGTTGCGGCAGAACTATGGCGTGTGCCTCAATTCTTACATCCGCATTGGGGGAAATCAGGGTTAATGAGCAGATTTTATTAGAGTTTTGTATTACTCTTCCACCCATTCTCGAAATTTCAATGTTGGAGTTTGTGGTTGGGCGTTTTAGCCGGTTTTGTACTTTTGATGAGATAAACGATCTTTGTGAGCCTTGATCGATTAGAGCTCTAAGCTTGAACAATTCTCCTCGATGTTCAATCGAGACAATCGCGGTTGGCAGTAAAATTTTGCGTTCATTTTCGGAATGAAGCGCTTGTATATTTGCTGTTTTCGAACAGCATGGTTTCTCGGTTTCGTTTTCGAGATTTTCGGGGTGTTCGGGTCTAGCTGTTGCAACTAGCCCTGTGGCTCTTTGCGAGTTAGAGCTATTTTGGGGGGTAAAATTATTAATGTGGAGCATCGAGTGATGCCTCTTTTGGCAGTATACACAATTGAATTTACTTTCACAGTCTTTTTGCATGTGAGAGTGTGAGAAGCAATTTGTGCAAAGTCTATTATTTCTAACGACATTATATCGTTCGGTTGTTGTAAGTTTTTTAAACTTCTCGCAAGATCTTAATGCGTGACCTCCTTTACAAAATTTGCATGACATACGTTTGTTTTGTTCTGCGATGAACGATTGAGTTCTGTTGAAACTTCGATTATGTAAATTATTGTTACTGGCTTGGGGTCTATTGTAGCTTCTATTGAGGTCGAGCTGTGTATTTTTCGGCTTTGATATTTTTCTATCTACCCTTTCTGCGATTTCGAATTGGGTAGTGAGGAAGTCTTTCATTTGTTGCCACGTTGGGCATTTTTTTCGGGATGAGAGCGATTGCTCCCATAAGAGTAACGATTTTTCTGGTAAAGTTGCAGCGCATACGTTTACCAGAATAGGGTCCCAACTATCAGTGGGAATGTTTCGTGTCGCGAGAACCGACAAACAGTTTGATACAGTGGACTGTAATTTCATGAATTCTTCGCTTGTTTCCTTTTGAATTTTTGGCAAGTTCATTAAAATCGTTATTTGGTTGTCGACCAATACTCTTTCATTCTCATATCGTGATTTTAATGCTTCCCAAGCCAGATTAAAATTATCGTCACTAAGAGCGAATTGTTTTACTATAGCGCCTGCTTGACCTTTTGTTTTGTATCTGAGGTGATACAGTTTTTTGCGCTTGAGATAACTTTGGATGGTTTATGTATACGGCTGTAAACATGTCCCGGAAGGACGGCCATTGTTCATAACCTCCATGAAATACTTCTGTATCACATGCTGGCACTTTAAGATGTATGCCTGAACTTGCTTCTTGGATTTGTATTTGGGGCAGCTCTACTCTCAGAGGTGGAGTAGGTGCATTTAATGGCTTTATTAATTTTAGTTGATCGGAAATCATAGCCTTTGTTTCTTCGTATTGGTCTAAGCAATTTTCATATTTGGCGTAAGCCGAGGATTTAAAATTTTCAGGTAGATCTGAATCCTCAGTTTCAATTATGGCGTCATAAGCCGATTGGAGACGTGTCTAAAAATTATCAAGACTGTGGGTTTTTACTTCCAGTACTGATTCTGAATTGTCTTGGATAGGGGCTGCGGAAAACCTAGTGCAGTATCTTATTAGACTGTCACTTTCCGCAATAAATTTTGCGGCCGAAAAGCCTTTGGTCTTTTTTTGCTTCGTACCCTGTTTTGAGCGTGTAGCTTCTGCAGGGGTGCTTTGATGCTTATCTTCGTCAACCATTTTCGGTATATCTAGCAATTGAGGTGTTTTTGGTTCTTTGATGGGAGACTTGTTCGTTTGCATTTAAATGTGTACTCGAGAATTTATAAAATTGTTTTTTTTTTCTATGTATTTTAATAGTCGTATAGTCGATCGGATTTTGACTTACTTTTCTTTTATAGTAACACAATGTATCCGCAATACTCTCTTTCGAGTTTTATTATTTACGTGCGTATGTATTATTATTTTTTTGTTCGTAATATAAATTTTAATAATTTGGAGGGGTT